CCAGAAAATGACACACATCCATACATCCTTTTTGAGTGGTTAAACAAGTTGAATCGGGCCAGTATAGCACATCCTTGGAGTATCTTGAGAGATCAGCCAGCGCATAAGAGGCCACACACCTTAGGGGGACATTTAGTCCATCCGGCCTGTTTGTTAGTAAGTAACCTGAGGATCTCATCCAGTTGTTTCTTGAAAGAAGCCAGCTTGCCTTGTGTTTGCTGTGTGTGCACAGATCTTGCATGAGTCCCCTTCAATGGCGTCAAACCTTAATACTCGCCCGAATGAATGGTCTTCCGATGCCCCACTGTGAGAAGCTGTGGCGGGAGAAAGCTGAGGCTGTGAAGGCTGGAGCTCATGAATCACCGAACAGCTCAGTGTAAGGGTATTCCGGCCAGCAGGCTGCCTCTCCTGCTCCGCATGTCTCCTGCTGTCTGTCTTTGAAGATGACTGGCATCTCCACAGTGCTTATGGAAGAATTTCACATAGGAACTAAGACATAGTCGATGTAAACCAATATGCTTCAGCAGAGACCCGTAAGATGCAATATTTTATAGAGGAAAATTTGGGAATGCAATGATTCATCTATGCATCACTCCCCTTTCATTACAAAAGGCAGACAAATCTGTTGAACAGGCTGAACAGACCTACCCCTCCCAGAGAAAGCTAATAAAAATACCCCCACAGCCTCCAAAGATGGACCCTATTACTTTGTGTTAGATTTGCATTGCAAAATCTGAAGGCCAATTTCCAGTGACGTTACCAGAATTGTCAAGCAGTTGCTAAGGTGGAAGATCTCAGCTGCAGTCTGAAGCATAGATTAATCCCTTTTTTGAAATGAGTCATCCCCAATGCTGTCTTCTGTGCTAAACACAATATTAAGGTTATTAGAATGTAACAGGTTGACAGCACAGTTAAAATACTGTGGCTTATCATTTATATTACATAAACAAATACTCAATCTAAATGCAATATCCACTGGCTAGACGGTAAATATACAGTACCTTGAGAAGGGGAATCTATCTCCCAAACAAAACACAGAAATTGGAAGGACACAACAATCTGAATCAGATTCCAGCTTCCTAAGTAAGATGATTGTTTTTCTTTGCATATATTAATTCTATAAAGAAAACCTTTTGGGGTTATAGTGTGTTTTTAGAGCAAGCATCCACTCTGAATTATGGCAAAGAACATTAATTAGCCATAAACTGACAACTGACGTTTCGCAAAGCGAGGAGCAAGAACGATCTCATTGGCTTCCCCACATTGTGAAATGGCCAAAGCATACATATTGTTAATGCGTGTGTGTGTGTTCTGCACAGTCCCTAATAATTCACAGTATTAAGTAAGATTTTTTTTTATTTTGGGGACATGTAATGGGTATATTGTAGTGGATTCAGAAGAGATTTATGCAAAATGAGATCATTTGAAAAATGTGATATTGTTGTCTATGAGAGCTCTTACTGCTTCAAAACATGATATAAATTGAACTTTCCTGCACTTCAGGTGAAATCTGAACAGACAACTCATTCCTTTCCCCACAACGTTTCCCATAATAAAACTTGACAACAGAGAATTGCCTGATATTTTAACATTCCCTTTTGACATCTTCAAAGCCTTTGGACAATGAAATTTCTGCAAAACTACAGAGAATGACACATGAAATCTCAACATTTCTTTCAACGCATGAACAGATAAGTTCTTAAATCTATATCATTCATGCACGTTTTTTTGTTTTTCCATTATAAAAAAATCATTCTCTAATGTTCCTCTGTGATGGGCTTGTGTCCAGCCCAGGGCGTATCCTGCCTTGTGCCCATT